ATTGGTCAGTTTTATCAGGTCTTGATGGCATTTTAATAAAATGTACTTCTTCAGTCTCCTCATAATGAGACATTGTTCTTCATTCATTTCATGAACGCATCTCCACAGATGTGCAGCTGTGTTTATCGACCTTCAGGTGTGATTTGGGTAAAATTTTCCCCACATGCTGCAAACATGTGACTCCTCACTTCCAGAGTTTTTGTGTGTTTTGACCATGAACCAGAACTGACATGTCTCCTACTTGTTTTTAAAATACAATGCCACTTGACTGTGTGAGATCTTATATGCCTTTTTACTTGAGACACATCAAAGTTTCTTTTCCTGCAGGTCTTGGAGAGTTATGACTTCTCACCTGTGTGGATTCTCATGTGGGTCGTGGGTCGGCTACTTTTACATCTCAAAGCTTTCTCACATGTTGTGCAAGTAAATGGCTTCTCACCTGTGTGGATTGTGTGTGATGTTTGAAATGTTACTCTGATCGTCAGTGTGACAAAAGAAATCCTGTGCTAACAAAGTTATCGTTTTTTATTTTTTATTTTAATAAAATCATTAAGGTTTCATTTTCTAAAGTCAGCTGCTGTAGTGTACCTCCTCTAAATGTGGTCCGGCCAAACTGAGCTCTGGCCAACCTGCATTCTGATCTGCGTGCATCTACACCTGCAGTAACATTGCATTTTTCCTCATTCAGTCTACAGGCACAGATTCTGGTGTCACTGTGGATAAGTTGCTCATATGCACCAAAAAACACGGTGTCTGCAGATATAACCAAAGTAAATTTTAGACTTTTTTAATCCCACCTTATATGGAATTTAAAACCATCTCATGGCTGTCATGAATGCTACTAATATTCAGAGAAATACAGCATGGAAAAAAAAGATTTTTCTTCGGTCTGTGCGATGATTGTAAACTGTCATTGGGTCTGTCAGGCTGGAGAAATTTTCACAGTAATGTGACCAAAAATATTTAATACCTATTGATTCTGAATTTAAGACAGTTTAAGACTTTTTAAGGCCTTATATTAAGAAAACTTAATTTCAGACATTTTAAGACATTTTAAAGGAGCTGTAGACACCCTGACAAAAGATCACAGCAACAGGACAAATCTTCTGGGATCAGTTTATTACTGTGCTCACTGCAAAATCAGTCATACTTTTAATCACACGTTCTGCTCACATTTTCATGGACAATATTTTCAAACTTTTTCATGACTTTTCAAGGACTCATAATGAAGAATTTTCTTTTTCTTTCCCCACTTGCCCGGCGTTTTTCAAACATCAGATTCAAACTCTATGTAAACATAATTGGCACACAGGAAGGGAGAGACAAACTGAGGGAGAAAATGACAAAACACACCTGATGGTAAACAAACATTGTCACACATCGACGCATATTAAAGCTACATTAAGACGCCAGCTTCAGAAAATGAATTTGCCATTATGTTACATTATATGGAGGGTTATCCACTGAAGATGATTCTAATAATTTCATTATACACAAACAAGTTCTGTGACTTATAATGATTTTGACTAATTCCATGACTTTTCCAGGTTTTCCATGACTCTTGCAAGTATAAAATTCATTCAGACTTTAAAGCAGTCTCCTCCTTTTGTTCTTTATCTCACTAGTTTAACTTTTCCAGACCTGCAATTTCAATTAAAATTCAGGATTTGGACTTCACTCCCCACTTTTCTTAGCATGCTTTATGGAACAGGCCTCTGAAAGCTCTGCCACATGTTTTGCATGTAAACAGTCTCTCTCCTGTATATGTGTGACTTCAACTGGAACCTCTGTGCTCAAGTGATGCACCTTTACACCTGTGTGCGTTCTCATGTGGCCTGTCAAGTTACTGCTAGATCTGAAATGTCTCCCACATGTTTTGCAAGTATACGGCTTCTCCCCTGAATGAGTCCTCATGTGGACTAACAAGACATCACTACGTCTGAAAGCTCTCCCACAAACTTTACAAGTATACGGCTTCTCACCTGTGTGGTTTCTCATGTGGATAATCAGGCAACGTTTCCCTGTAAAACCTCTCCCACATGTTTTGCATGTATGTGGCTTCTCGCCTGTGTGGATTCTCATGTGCCTTGTCAATGTGGACACATTCCTGAATCTTTTCCCACATGTTTTGCAAGTATACGGCCTCTCACCTGTGTGGATTCTCATGTGGACTGTCAAGTCACCATTACGTCTGAAAGCTCTCCCACATACTTTACAAGTATACGGTTTCTCCCCTGAATGAATCCTCATGTGGACTAACAAGTCACCATTACGTCCAAAAGCTCTCCCACATACTTTACAAGTATACGGCTTCTCACCTGAATGAGTCCTCATGTGGACTAACAAGTAACCATTATGTCTGAAGTGTCTCCCACATACTTTACAAGTATACGGCTTCTCCCCTGAATGAGTCCTCATGTGGACTAACAAGTCACCATTACGTCCGAAAGCTCTCCCACATACTTTACAAGTATACGGTTTCTCACCTGAATGAGTCCTCATGTGGAACAACAAGACACCATTACGTCCGAAAGCTCTCCCACATACTTTACAAGTATACGGCTTCTCCCCTGAATGAGTCCTCATGTGGGCTAACAAATAACAATTACGTCCGAAAGCTCTCCCACATACTTTACAAGTATACGGTTTCTCACCTGTGTGGATTGTCATGTGCCTTTCCAGTCCTGACTTCTGAATGAATCTTTTCCTGCATATTGTGCAAGAAAACAGCTCCTCACCTGTGTGGATTCTACAATGCCTTTCCAATCCTGACTTCTCACTGAATCTTTTCCCGCAGGTCTTGCAAAGGTACGGCCTCTCACCTGTGTGGATTCTACAATGCCTTTCCAATCCTGACTTCTGACTGAATCTTTTCCCGCATGTATCGCAAGAAAACGGCTTCTCACCTGTGTGGATTCTACAATGCCTTTCCAATCCTGACTTATGACTGAATGTTTTCCCGCATGTTTTGCAAGCAAACGGCTTCTCACCTGTGTGGCTGTTCAGGTGTCTCTGCAATTTTGACTTGCGCTCAAAACCTTTCCCACATATGTCACATTTTAAAGGCTTTTTACCTGTATTTAAGTTTATCACAGCAGAGGTGTGTGGACTGTTACTGTTCATTTCACTTTCATGATGTCTTTTCTCTGCTTGAAGCTCTGTGTTTCTAGTTGATCCTGAGTCTCCATGCTGGTATTCTTCCTCATCTTGGCTCTCAGCTACATGAGAGTTGTGACAGAGCAGCTGGTGCTCACTGGTTGGTATCACAGAGCTTATAACTGGTATAATGACAACAGACTCTTTCTCTGCTGCACTTTGAGTGTCATCATGAATGAAGTCCAGAGTCTGATCTTCACTCTGCTCACTTTCCTCATCAGCAGGAGTCAACATGAAGCCATCAGTCTCCTGCTTCACTACAAGCTGCTCTCCCTCCTGACTGCTGCACACTTCCTCCTCTTCCTCTTTAATCTGTGGAGGCTCTGGCTCCTCTTGGTCCACACTGGACTTCCTCTCCTCAATACAGAGCTGCTGCTCAGGGACAACCTCCTCCTCCTTACACACATGTTGCTGTGGGAGCTCTGGAGGGACACACAACAACACCAACAGCATACTAATGTCATGCTACAGCAAATATACACACACCACAGTAAATATGTCCTAATTCAACTTTACACACCTGTCCTGTGTAACTTTATTTCAGGCTTCAAAACGATATCCAACAGTCTGCGCTGACGATCGATCTCTTCCTCGTACTCGACGATGCTTCTTTTAAAAACTCCCAATATTTCTTCAGCAGCAGCAGTTAGTCGCTCGTTGACAAACTCTCTCAAAGACTCAACTGAACACATTGTTGTCTAATGTAGGCTACAGTAAATGTGGCTCGAGGTTTAACTCATAGATTAACCTCCCGTGGCGCCTTTGTTTTATTTACTTCCGCTGGATGTTACACTATTAAGTTCCGACGGGGAAATACATGAGGTTTTCACGTGTTCCGCTTCCAATGGTTGGCAATTATAATTTCTAATATCAGTGTCCGGGCTGTAACAAGTCGTCTCAGTATCATTGGTGGCTCATAAAAAGGCAGCAATAACTACACGTTTGTCTTTTATTTTGGTGTTTAAAGGTCCCATATAATGCTTATTCATAGGTTCATACTTGTATTTGGGGTTTCTACTAGAACCTGTTTTCACTCTTTAATTAAATAAATATATATTATTTTCCTCATACTGTCAACCTGAATGTACTGGTATTCACCCAAAGTCTGAAACGCTCAGTTTGACCACCCGTCTCTTTAAGCTCTTCTCCTGAAAAAGCCCAGTCTGCTTTGATTGGTCAGTTTTATCAGGTCTTGATGGCATTTTAATAAAATGTACTTCTTCAGTCTCCTCATAATGAGACATTGTTCTTCATTCATTTCATGAACGCATCTCCACAGATGTGCAGCTGTGTTTATCGACCTTCAGGTGTGATTTGGGTAAAATTTTCCCCACATGCTGCAAACATGTGACTCCTCACTTCCAGAGTTCTTGTGTGTTTTGACCATGAACCAGAACTGACATGTCTCCTACTTGTTTTTAAAACACAAGGCCACTTGACTGTGTGAGATCTTATATGCCTTTTTACTTGAGACACATCAAAGTTTCTTTTCCTGCAGGTCTTGGAGAGTTATGACTTCTCACCTGTGTGGATTCTCATGTGGGTCGTGGGTCGGCTACTTTTACATCTCAAAGCTTTCTCACATGTTGTGCAAGTAAATGGCTTCTCACCTGTGTGGATTGTGTGTGATGTTTGAAATGTTACTCTGATCGTCAGTGTGACAAAAGAAATCCTGTGCTAACAAAGTTATCGTTTTTTATTTTTTATTTTAATAAAATCATTAAGGTTTCATTTTCTAAAGTCAGCTGCTGTAGTGTACCTCCTCTAAATGTGGTCCGGCCAAACTGAGCTCTGGCCAACCTGCATTCTGATCTGCGTGCATCTACACCTGCAGTAACATTGCATTTTTCCTCATTCAGTCTACAGGCACAGATTCTGGTGTCACTGTGGATAAGTTGCTCATATGCACCAAAAAACACGGTGTCTGCAGATATAACCAAAGTAAATTTTAGACTTTTTTAATCCCACCTTATATGGAATTTAAAACCATCTCATGGCTGTCATGAATGCTACTAATATTCAGAGAAATACAGCATGGAAAAAAAAGATTTTTCTTCGGTCTGTGCGATGATTGTAAACTGTCATTGGGTCTGTCAGGCTGGAGAAATTTTCACAGTAATGTGACCAAAAACATTTAAGACCTATTGAATCAGAATTTAAGACAGTTTAAGACCTTTTAAGGCCTTATATTAAGAAAACTTAATTTCAGACATTTTAAGACATTTTAAAGGAGCTGTAGACACCCTGACAAAAGATCACAGCAACAGGACAAATCTTCTGGGATCAGTTTATTACTGTGCTCACTGCAAAATCAGTCATACTTTTAATTACAGGTTCCGCTCACATTTTCATGGACAATATTTCCAAACTTTTTCATGACTTTTCAAGGACTCTTCATGAAGAATTTTCTTTTTCTTTCCCCACTTGCCCGGCATTTTTCAAACATGAGATTCAAACTCTATGTAAACATAATTGGCACACAGGAAGGGAGAGACAAACTGAGGGAGAAAATGACAAAACACACCTGATGGTAAACAAACATTGTCACACATCGACGCATATTAAAGCTACATTAAGACGCCAGCTTCAGAAAATGAATTTGCCATTATGTTACATTATATGGAGGGTTATCCACTGAAGATGATTCTAATAATTTCATTATACACAAACAAGTTCTGTGACTTATAATGATTTTGACTAATTCCATGACTTTTCCAGGTTTTCCAGGACTCTTGCAAGTATAAAATTCATTCAAACTTTAAAGGAGCAATTATCGAAATTCATCATTTCTAGATTGAAGGAATTAAAAAATCGCTATGTGAAGAACTAGAGGTGTAATTTCATCGGGAGTATAGCATGACCTCACACACCCTCTCTCTGTGTTGATCTCCAGCCCATTGTTTACAAGCCAGTCCGGCTGCGTGGTCATGTACGTTCATGTGGAGGAGGGGGGGGGGGCCCTCCCTCGCTATAAAAGGCTACAGCCAGTGAGCAATGGCAGCGCGTATTTTCGAAATGAAATGGCAGAAAGTGGAACGTCCACCTGAAGACGACCAGGATCTGACATCACCTCTAAAGAAACAACGGTTGTTGGCAAAGAAGTTGTCGGATAAAGAAAGGGACAGAACCCGGATTAACATTGGCCTTGCATTTCCAAGGTGGAGAGCACTGCGAGAGCTAAAGGGGCTACAATCTGAGTCAGAGCTAGCTCTTCTTCTCCTGGACAGGTACAACATAAAGTCAAATGTCTGTTTTAATTAGTGTTACAGTAACGTTAGGCGCACGTTGCTATGTCGCTTCAATTAAATTCAATGTTACAATTGCAGCATGGGTTAACGTCCGGAGCTTGAGTTATTAGCGGCTCGGTCCCAGCAATGGGTCAGGCGTTACAGTTGTGTTAGGTGAGTAGCCCGACAGCCCAGCTAACATTTGCAATTAGCATTGTAAAATGTAGCCCGGCGGGCAGCCTGGTGGCTGTGTTTAGCTATTCCCCTGCTTACTTCAATGATGATGGTACCTGTAATAAATGTAATATATTTGCTGAAATGGAGGCGAGGTTCAGTGACTAGAAGAGCTGGTAGAAGCGCTCCATAGCTGTAAGTTACTCCAGTAGCCGTAGTAGCTCTAGTGCTAACTCCAGGAGCTAACGCTAACATTCCTCTCTTCGGGGCCCGCCAGGCTCACGGTCTCACGGAGAAGAGTTGGAACGTTAGCATGGCAGCCGACTAGTGCTAACACTAACGTCCCCACGCTTAAGCAGGCTCCAGCAACGTTAGCATGGCAGCCGACTAGTGCTAACGCTAACGTCCCCACCCTTCTCGGCTCCGACTCAATGAGCCTGGCGGACAAGCGTAGGGATGTTAGCACTAGTTGGCTGCCATGCTAACGTTCCAACTCTTCTCCGTGAGACCGGCTCCTGGCTCAGTTGGAGTTGGAGCGTTAGCGTGGCAGCCAAGTAGTGCTAACGCTAACAGGAAAGCAGGGAAATAGCTAAACACAGCAGAGACTGAGAGTGAGTGAAAGACATCGCTAACTGCTAAACTAAGCCAAACTAAGTTGGCTGTTTAGGTTTTACTTCCTCGCCCCTGTGGCGAGTGAATCCACCTCCAGTGAAAGCGGGGCTAACCGGTGCTTCCTTTTCATGCTCCACTTCACTCAGTTGCCAACACAGCCAGTTAGCCTCCGCTAGCTTCCCAGCTAGCGGCTCTCCGTTTGGATCCAACCAGAGCACCAAGCCCTGGTTTGTTATTCAGGTTAATGTGGGAAGCAGCAGTGGGTATATCGGGCAGCTGAGTGAAGCGGAGCCTGCGGAAGAAACACCGGGACCGTCTGGATGTGATGGTCCATGGAGATGCTGTGGTACTCGCCGGCACAGACGAGGCGAGTGGGGGGTGTTGGAGAGCAGAGGTAGAGGGAGGAGTGGCTCATGACACACTTTGTTTTGGTCTACAGGCAGTGCACAACAGCGAACCTAGCGGTGAAACGATTTCGCTTATTGCCCCTTTAAAGCAGTCTCCTCCTTTTGTTCTTTATCTCACTAGTTTAACTTTTCCAGACCTGCAATTTCAATTAAAATTCAGGATTTGGACTTCACTCCCCACTTTTCTTAGCATGCTTTATGGAACAGGCCTCTGAAAGTTCTGCCACATGTTTTGCATGTAAACAGTCTCTCTCCTGTATATGTGTGACTTCAACTGGAACCTCTGTGCTCAAGTGATGCACCTTTACACCTGTGTGTGTTCTCATGTGGCCTGTCAAGTTACTGCTAGATCTGAAGTGTCTCCCACATGTTTTGCAAGTATACGGCTTCTCCCCTGAATGAGTCCTCATGTGGACTAACAAGTCACCATTACGTCCGAAAGCTCTCCCACATACGTTACAAGTATACGGCTTCTCACCTGAATGAGTCCTCATGTGGACTAACAAGTAACCATTACGTCCAAAAGCTCTCCCACATATGTTACAAGTATACGGCTTCTCACCTGTGTGGATTCTACAATGCCTTTTGAAAACTGACTTCTCACTGAATCTTTTCCCGCAGGTCTTGCAAAGGTAGGGCCTCTCACCTGTGTGGGTTCTTATATGAGTGTTCAATGCTGATGTGTCACTGAATCTTTTCCCACATGTTTTGCAAGAAAACGGCTTCTCACCTGTGTGGCTGTTCAGGTGTCTCTGCAATTTTGACTTGCGCTCAAAACCTTTCCCACATATTTCACATTTTAAAGGCTTTTTACCTGTATTTAAGTTTATCACAGCAGAGGTGTGTGGACTGTTACTGTTCATTTCACTTTCATGATGTCTTTTCTCTGCTTGAAGCTCTGTGTTTCTAGTTGATCCTGAGTCTCCATGCTGGTATTCTTCCTCATCTTGGCTCTCAGCTACATCAGAGTTGTGACAGAGCAGCTGGTGCTCACTGGTTGCTTCTGATATCACAGAGCTTATAACTGGCATTTTAAATACAGACTCTTTCTTTGCTGCACTTTGAGTGTCATCATGAATGAAGTCCAGAGTCTGATCTTCACTCTGCTCACTTTCCTCATCAGCAGGAATCAACATGAAGCCATCAGTCTCCTGCTTCACTACAAGCTGCTCTCCCTCCTGACTGCTGCACACTTCCTCCTCTTCCTCTTTAATCTGTGGAGGCTCTGGCTCCTCTTGGTCCACACTGGACTTCCTCTCCTCAATACAGAGCTGCTGCTCAGGGACAACCTCCTCCTCCTTACACACATGTTGCTGTGGGAGCTCTGGAGGGACACACAACAACACCAACAGCATACTAATGTCATGCTACAGCAAATATACACACACCACAGTAAATATGTCCTAATTCAACTTTACACACCTGTCCTGTGTAACTTTATTTCAGGCTTCAAAACGATATCCAACAGTCTGCGCTGACGATCGATCTCTTCCTCGTACTCGACGATGCTTCTTTTAAAAACTCCCAATATTTCTTCAGCAGCAGCAGTTAGTCGCTCGTTGACAAACTCTCTCAAAGACTCAACTGAACACATTGTTGTCTAATGTAGGCTACAGTAAATGTGGCTCGAGGTTTAACTCATAGATTAACCTCCCGTGGCGCCTTTGTTTTATTTACTTCCGCTGGATGTTACACTATTAAGTTCCGACGGGGAAATACATGAGGTTTTCACGTGTTCCGCTTCCAATGGTTGGCAATCATAATTTCTAATATCAGTGTCCGGGCTGTAACAAGTCGTCTCAGTATCATTGGTGGCTCATAAAAAGGCAGCAATAACTACACGTTTGTCTTTTATTTTGGTGTTTAAAGGTCCCATATAATGCTTATTCATAGGTTCATACTTGTATTTGGGGTTTCTACTAGAACCTGTTTTCACTCTTTAATTAAATAAATATATATTATTTTCCTCATACTGTCAACCTGAATGTACTGGTATTCACCCAAAGTCTGAAACGCTCAGTTTGACCACCCGTCTCTTTAAGCTCTTCTCCTGAAAAAGCCCAGTCTGCTTTGATTGGTCAGTTTTATCAGGTCTTGGTGGCATTTTAATAAAATGTACTTCTTCAGTCTCCTCATAATGAGACATTGTTCTTCATTCATTTCATGAACGCATCTCCACAGAAGTTTCAGCTGTGTTTATCGACCTTCAGGTTTGATTTGAGTAAAATTTTCCCCACATGCTGCAAACATGTGACTCCTCACTTCCAGAGTTCTTGTGTGTTTTGACCATGAACCAGAACTGACATGTCTCCTACTTGTTTTTAAAACACAAGGCCACTTGACTGTGTGAGATCTTATATGCCTTTTTACTTGAGACACATCAAAGTCCCTTTTCCTGCAGGTCTTGGAGAGTTATGACTTCTCACCTGTGTGGATTCTCATGTGGATCGTCAGGCTACTTTTACATCTCAAAGCTTTCTCACATGTTGTTAATAGGGGGCAGAAGACCTAGACCCATTGTGGTTGAGTTCTCTAAGTTCAAGGACAGATCAAAGGTTCAGGAGGGAGCCAAAAATCTGAAGGGGTCCAAGATCTACATTAATGAGAACTACACTGATGCCGTGCGTATGAAAAGGAAAGAACTACACCCTAAGTTGAGGAAGGCTCGGGCGAGAGGTGAAATTGCCTTTCTGAGGCACGACCAACTGGTAATTCCAATGTGGAATAGGCTTTCTTCAATAGCCAAAACATGTAACATAACTCATGTAGTGTCAGAGCCAACCAGAATATTTACGTATGGTAACAATACATCAACCTGCATTGACCACATTTTTACTAATATTCCTGAAAAATGCTCTAAAGCTGTATCCATATCAGTAGGCTTTAGTGATCACAATCTCGTTGCAACCAAAAGAATAACAAAAATTCCTAACACCCCCTCAACAATTAAGTATAAATGGTCTTTTAGAGGTTTTAATACAGAGTTATTTGTAAAAGAGATTAGTGAGGTTAATTGGTTTAATGTATGCGAAGAGGATGACCCTGAAACTGCACTAAGTGTGTTTATGAAATTATTTATGGGTGTTGCAGATAAACATGCACCATTAAGAAAATGGACTTCTAGGTCTAAGGGTGCACCATGGATTGACAATGAGCTGATGGAATTGATGACCAAGCGTGATAATGCAAAAAGGATTGTAAATGGAACTCATGCTCTAACTGATAGACAAAACTATTGTAAACTAAGAAATACTGTGGTTAAACTTAATAGATGTAAAAAAAAAAGGGGCTATTACAAGAACAGAATTCACGAGGCCAAGAACAACAGCAAGAAATTGTGAAAGATTCTAAACAATATCATGGACAGGAGCACGAATGCAACTGCCTCCTTCAATGAAACACATGGAAAGTTTATTACTAAACCACAAGACATAGCAAATCATTTCAATAACTATTTCACATCGAAGATACAGAAATTGAGAAATGCCATGAGTACTGCTGAGGTCATAGGGCCACAGACAATCATAAAGGACTGTATTATGATTGGAAAGAGGTGTTCGTTCCAATACGTTGAAAAACAATATGTTGAAATGTGTTTATTTTCCCTCGCTGATGACAAATCTCCAGGCACAGATAATCTGGATGGTAAATTGCTAAAAATTGCAGCAAGACATATATCCAACCCAGTATGCCATATATTTAATAAATGTCTAAAGCATGGTGTGTGCCCGGAAATTTGGAAAGAGGCCAAAGTTATTCCACTGCCGAAGGATGGTAAATCTGCCCTCACAGGTCCCAACAGTCGCCCAATCAGTCTGCTGCCTGTATTGAGCAAGTTATTGGAGAAAATTGTTTATGCTCAAATTCAAGATTATTTTACATGCAACTCATTATTCATGAGTAACCAGCATGCATACAAAGAAGGGCATTCAACCAGTACAGCATTGGCTCAAATGACTGATGATTGGCTGAGATGCATGGAGGACAAAAGATTAGTGGGGGCAGTATTACTAGACTTTAGTGCTGCTTTTGACATTATTGATCACTGTCTTTTGCTAGAAAAACTCAGCGGTTATGGTTTTGAATCTACTGCCTTGTCCTGGATGAGGAGTTACTTGACCTGCAGAAGGCAAAGAGTGTTTTTTAATGGCAGCCTGTCTGACAGCAAAGAGCTGTACTGACAGGGGAGCTGCTTAGGTCCTATTTTATATTCAGTTTTTACAAATGACCTTCCATTAGTGTTGAATAATGCAAAAGTTGTTATGTATGCGGATGATTCTACCACATACAGTGCAGCAATGACAAATTTTGAGCTCTCTGATATCCTGAGCATTGAACTCAAGAAAGTGGTCGACTGGTGCACAAAAATAATGTGTGTTAAATATCTCTAAAACAAAAAGTATGATATTTGGTTCCAGACATGCATTGGTAAATGATCTTCAACTACAGCTGTCTGTTGATAGAACACAAATTGAACAAGTAAACAAGACCAAGTTACTTGGAATAGTCTTGGATAATAAACTTTCATGGTCAGAACATATTGATCACATTATGAAGAAAATGGGTAAAAGTATTGCCGTGACAAGAAAATGTTCTAAGTGTGTCGAATCAGAGTAATCAAGGCCTTAGTGTTGTCCCATCTGGATTATTGCCCTATTACTTGGTCATCTGCAGCCACTAAAGATATTAGAAAACTTCAAATTACACAGAACAAAGCAGCTAGAGTTGCTCTCAATTGTTCACTGCATGTAAATATCTTAAAAATGCACCGGAATTTATTGTGGCTTCTGGTTGAAAACAGACTAAAATTAAATCTTCTAACTTTTATTAGAAATTTGATTAACGATAAAAAACCACAATGTCTCTTAGATCAGATAGTGTTCACCAGAAATGTAAACAAATATGCAACCAGACAATCAAGATATGATAACTTACTTACACCTAAACCAAGAACAAACTTTTTAAAACATACTGTAATGTACAGAGCCATTATAGGATGGAACACATTACCCAATAACACCAAAAATATTAATGCAAAACAAATTTTTAAAAAGGTAGTAATAGACTATTTAAATAAATTGTAAATTTAATGAATGAGAAATATAATGCAGAATAATTATTGTAGGAATTATTTGTGGGTTGAACTGTTCTGGTAATGTAATGTGATGTCTGGTGTATTCTTTGTACCTAATCATGTAGTTTTAGACTAGACTGTTTGCTGTTTGTGTATGTAATGATGTGTTACAGTGAAATGTAACAGTGATGAATGTGAGTATGTACTATGTCTTTTTTTAATTGCATTGAGGACCCCAGGAAGAATAGCTGATGTCATGACATCAGCTAATGGGGATCCCAGAAATAAACAAACAAATAAACAAACAAACATGTTGTGCAAGTAAATGGCTTCTAACCTGTGTGGATTGTGTGTGATGTTCTAAAATCATTAAGGTTTCATTTTCTAAAGTCAGCTGCTGTAGTGTACCTCCTCTAAATGTGGTCCGGCCAAACTGAGCTCTGGCCAACCTGCATTCTGATCTGCGTGCATCTACACCTGCAGTAACATTGCATTTTTCCTCATTCAGTCTACAGGCACAGATTCTGGTGTCACTGTGGATAAGTTGCTCATATGCACCAAAAAACACGGTGTCTGCAGATATAACCAAAGTAAATTTTAGACTTTTTTAATCCCACCTTATATGGAATTTAAAACCATCTCATGGCTGTCATGAATGCTACTAATATTCAGAGAAATACAGCATGGAAAAAAAAGATTTTTCTTCGGTCTGTGCGATGATTGTAAACTGTCATTGGGTCTGTCAGGCTGGAGAAATTTTCACAGTAATGTGACCAAAAACATTTAAGACCTATTGAATCAGAATTTAAGACAGTTTAAGACCTTTTAAGGCCTTATATTAAGAAAACTTAATTTCAGACATTTTAAGACATTTTAAAGGAGCTGTAGACACCCTGACAAAAGATCACAGCAACAGGACAAATCTTCTGGGATCAGTTTATTACTGTGCTCACTGCAAAATCAGTCATACTTTTAATCACACGTTCTGCTCACATTTTCATGGACAATATTTTCAAACTTTTTCATGACTTTTCAAGGACTCATAATGAAGAATTTTCTTTTTCTTTCCCCACTTGCCCGGCGTTTTTCAAACATCAGATTCAAACTCTATGTAAACATAATTGGCACACAGGAAGGGAGAGACAAACTGAGGGAGAACATGACAAAACACACCTGATGGTAAACAAACATTGTCACACATCGACGCATATTAAAGCTACATTAAGACGCCAGCTTCAGAAGATGAATTTGCCATTATGTTACATTATATGGAGGGTTATCCACTGAAGATGATTCTAATAATTTCATTATACACAAACAAGTTCTGTGACTTTTAATGATTTTGACTAATTCCATGACTTTTCCAGGTTTTCCATGACTCTTGCAAGTATAAAATTCATTCAGACTTTAAAGCAGTCTCCTCCTTTTGTTCTTTATCTCACTAGTTTAACTTTTCCAGACCTGCAATTTCAATTAAAATTCAGGATTTGGACTTCACTCCCCACTTTTCTTAGCATGCTTTATGGAACAGGCCTCTGAAAGCTCTGCCACATGTTTTGCATGTAAACAGTCTCTCTCCTGTATATGTGTGACTTCAACTGGAACCTCTGTGCTCAAGTGATGCACCTTTACACCTGTGTGTGTTCTCATGTGGATTGTCAAGTTACTGCTAGATCTGAAATGTCTCCCACATGTTTTGCAAGTATACGGCTTCTCCCCTGAATGAGTCCTCATGTGGACTAACAAGACATCACTACGTCCGAAAGCTCTCCCACAAACTTTACAAGTATACGGCTTCTCCCCTGAATGAGTCCTCATGTGGCCTAACAAGTCAGCATTACGTCTGAAAGCTCTCCCACAAACTTTACAAGTATACGGCTTCTCACCTGTGTGGTTTCTCATGTGGCTAATCAGGCAATGTTTCCCTGTAAAACCTCTCCCACGCGTTTTGCATGTATACAGCTTCTCTCCTGTGTGGACTCTCATGTGCTTTGTCAATGTGGACACATCCCTGAATCTTTTCCCGCAGGTCTTGCAAAGGCATGGCCTCTCACCTGTGTGGATTCTCATGTGGACTTTCAAGTCACCATTACGTCTGAAAGCTCTCCCACATACTTTACAAGTATACGGCTTCTCCCCTGAATGAGTCCTCATGTGGCCTAACAAGACATCATTACGTCCGAAAGCTCTCCCACATACTTTACATGTATACGGTTTCTCACCTGTGTGGATTGTCATGTGCCTTTCCAGTCCTGACTTCTGACTGAATCTTGTCCCGCAGGTCTTGCAAAGGTAGGGCTTTTCACCTGTGTGGGTTCTTATATGAGCGCTCAATGCTGATGTGTCACTGAATCTTTTCCCACATGTTTTGCAAGAAAACGGCTTCTCACCTGTGTGGATTGTCATGTGCCTTTCCAATCCTGACTTCTGACTGAATCTTTTCCCGCATGTTTTGCAAGAAAACGGCTTCTCACCTGTGTGGGTTCTTATATGAGTGCTCAATGCTGATGTGTCACTGTAGCTTTTCCCACATGTTTTGCAAGAATACGGCTTCTCACCTGTGTGGCTGTTCAGGTGTCTCTGCAATTTTGACTTGCGCTCAAAACCTTTCCCACATATGTCACATTTTAAAGGCTTTTTACCTGTATTTAAGTTTATCACAGCAGAGGTGTGTGGACTGTTACTGTTCATTTCACTTTCATGATGTCTTTTCTCTGCTTGAAGCTCTGTGTTTCTAGTTGATCCTGAGTCTCCATGCTGGTATTCTTCCTCATCTTGGCTCTCAGCTACATCAGAGTTGTGACAGAGCAGCTGGTGCTCACTGGTTGGTATCACAGAGCTTATAACTGGTATAATGACAACAGACTCTTTCTCTGCTGCACTTTGAGTGTCATCATGAATGAAGTCCAGAGTCTGATCTTCACTCTGCTCACTTTCCTCATCAGCAGGAGTCAACATGAAGCCATCAGTCTCCTGCTTCACTACAAGCTGCTCTCCCTCCTGACTGCTGCACACTTCCTCCTCTTCCTCTTTAATCTGTGGAGGCTCTGGCTCCTCTTGGTCCACACTGGACTTCCTCTCCTCAATACAGAGCTGCTGCTCAGGGACAACCTCCTCCTCCTTACACACATGTTGCTGTGGGAGCTCTGGAGGGACACACAACAACACCAACAGCATACTAATGTCATGCTACAGCAAATATACACACACCACAGTAAATATGTCCTAATTCAACTTTACACACCTGTCCTGTGTAACTTTATTTCAGGCTTCAAAACGATATCCAACAGTCTGCGCTGACGATCGATCTCTTCCTCGTACTCGACGATGCTTCTTTTAAAAACTCCCAATATTTCTTCAGCAGCAGCAGTTAGTCGCTCGTTGACAAACTCTCTCAAAGACTCAACTGAACACATTGTTGTCTAATGTAGGCTACAGTAAATGTGGCTCGAGGTTTAACTCATAGATTAACCTCCCGTGGCGCCTTTGTTTTATTTACTTCCGCTGAATGTTACACTTCTTATTCTTCTTCTTCTTTTCAGTGGCGAATTGCACCCGTGCGGAGCATTATCGCCACCAACTGTTCTGATTTATATTATTTTATATCCTTGTCATCAGTCCTGTAGTTTGTAGGAATTTGAAAACGTGTCTTAGAACCAGTTTTCCAGAGTTACTTGCAAAAATAGTTTTTATTTCCATGTGTTTATATGTCCATTCCTTAATAACTGTCTCTCATTAGCGTATTTTGGACAATGAAGAATAACATGATCCACAGTCTCCATTTGATTGCATACATCACATGATCCACTTTGATGCTTCCCAATGAGATGTAATGATGAATTTAATCTTGTGTGTCCCAGTCTTATCCTACTAATCAAGCCTTCTTGCGTCCTACTTCTCCCCAGTGACCTTCCCTCTCCTGAGGTTGCTCAATCTGATACAGATGTCTTCCTTTATTGTCTTTATCCCATTATTTCTGCCACTGTATCTTGATTTTGTTCCATATGACTGTTTTAGCTTCCGCCTTACTTACTGGTATTGTTAGTTCTACTTGATTTATTTTAAGTCCATTTTTTGCAAGTTGATCAACTATCTCATTTCCTTGAACTCCTGTGTGAGCTGGCACCCATAAAAACTGTACATCAGTTCCTATCTTAATAACTCTATACAAAGATATTAAGATTTCAAATAGCATGTCCTGTCTGCATCTTGAGGAAAGGTTCTTTAGATTTGCCAGAGCTGCACTTGAATCTGAACATGTCAGAATTCTCATAGGTTTTATTTCTTCAATCCACTGTATAGCAAGCAAAATTGCAGTCATTTCCACTGTATATACTGATAGATGGTCAGTAGTTCTCTTGGTTACTTTTACTTTCAACTCTGGGACATAAAATGCACAGCTTGTTCTTCCATTCTCTGGATTTTTAGACCCATCAGTAAATACATGTATATATTGCCCATATCTTTCATAGAGTACAGTGTTCACATAAGCATGCATACTGAATGCCTTTCCCTTTGAGTTCACTTGCTTCAGTATAGAAAGATCTACTATTGGTTTGTGCAGTAACCATGGTGGAACCATTGGCCAAATGACTGACTGGTTGAAAATCCAATCACTCATTGCAATTTCCTTTGTTATATTTGATATTACAGTACAAAAACTCTCTTTTTTGATTTTATTACTCTCCCAACACTCATTCAATACTCTCTTTGTTGGATGCAGATCCTTCATACTCTTTAAATTTGCCCATTAATTGGCCATTAATTGTTTCCTTCTTAGTTGAAGAGGCATCTCTCCACCTTCTACCTGAAATGCTGACAAAGGTGTTGATTTGACTGCCCCACAACATAACCGCAACGCTTGAGCTTTAATTCTATCCAACCTTTTAAGGGTTGTATAAGCAGCTGATCCAAAAACAATGCAGCCATAATCCAAAATTGATCTAATTAATGCAATATAAATATTTTTCATTGCAAGTCTATCAGCTTCCCATACAGTGCCCACTAAGCATCTCATGACATTCAGTACTTTCTTGCATTTCTCTTCAATTTTATCAATATGATTTTTCTATGTAAGTGACACATCAAACCATACTCCCAAAAACTTGAAAGCTGTCACTTCCTCTAACTTTTGATTATACAGTTTTAGGCAAATGCTATCACTGATCTGTTTCCTTGTAAAAAAGACAGTCTGAGACTTTTCAACAGATAGTTTAAAACCCCATGTAATAGCCCAGTTTTCAACTTCATTAATAGCTTCTTGTATTTTCCTTACAGTGTGTTCCATGTTCCTTCCTCTTTTCCAAATTGCCCCATCATCTGCAAAAAGTGACCTTCCAATATCTGGACTAACTTGCTTGTATACATCATTTATCATAATTGAAAATAATAAAGGACTAATTACACTGCCTTGAGGGGTTCCATTTTCTACTGGATATTTCTCTGAAAGTGAATTCCCAACTCGAACCTGAATAGATCTGCCAAATAAGAAGTCCTTTACCCAATTATACACTTTACCACTAATGCCCATATTATCTAGCTTTATTAAAAGACCTTCCTTCCACAAAATATCGTATGCTTTCTCTACATCAAAGAAAACAGCTACCATACACTCTTTATTTGCTTGAGCTTTCCTGATATCAGATTCCAGGCATACTAAGGGGTCTAATGTACTGCACCCTCTTCTGAACCCACTCTGGCATGATGAGAATAAGTCATTTTTTTCTATATAATATGCTAATCTTTCTGTTATCATTCTTTCTATGGTCTTGCATATATGTGATGTTAAGGCTATAGGCCTATAACTTTCTGGACTGATGGGCTCTTTCCCAGGTTTACTGATGGGAACAATGACAGATTCTTTCCACTCTGTTGGAAGCTTGCCTTCCTCCCATACCTTATTATAAAGCTCTAGCACTTTTACTAGCGCAAAATCACTTAATTCAGTTAACACTGAAAAACACACACTATCTTTCCCAGGAGTTATCTTTTTACATTTACTTAAAGCTCTTTTCAACTCATGAATAGAAAACGGTCTATCTAAAGTGCTCTGGAACAACTTTCTTTCCTCATAAACATTGGGATGCCTATCTAATGTTTGCTGCCTTCTGGTCTTGCCTTCTTCTGATAAATTATCTGAGCTGTGGACTTTGACAAAATTCCTGGCTAACATTTCTGCCTTCTCCAAGTTGTCACAAGCACTCTCTTCCCCTTTCTTTAATACCGGAAGACTTATCTCCTGTCTGACTCCTCTCATCTTTTTAATCATTCCCCATACTTTACCTAATGGTGTTGTTCTTCCGATAGTTGAACACTATCCTCTCCAACATGATTTTTTAGCTCTTTTAACCGTTTTCCGTACTATTGCTTGAGCCTTTTTATACTCTAGCAGATTATAAAATGAGTGACTTCTTTTTAGCTCTCAATGTCCTGTTTCTTTGTTTAATTGCTTCAGAGCATTCTTTGTTCCACCATGGAACCATCTTAATTTTCTTCTTACTAGTACTCTTCCCAATCGCTTGTGATGCTCCCTTCACTATAGCTGTAGTGATACTTGTATTAACTTCATCTATTTGTTCTGACATGACTATCTTACTAAACTCTTCATCACAACAACTAGTAAACTTTCCCCAATCTGCCTTACTGACACTCCATCTCCTGATCCCGTCTAACTGAACTGAATTATTCATTTCAAATGTTATACCAATAGGATAATGATCACTGCCAATGATGTTATCATTCAGTACTTCCCAGCAACTTGCCCCAGCTAAATCACTAGATACTAAAGTAAGATCAATAGCCGACTCCACTCCATTGCTGAAGTTAAGCCTAGTGCCTTGCCCATTATTTAAACACACCAATCCCTTTGTCTCTATTAGCTCCTCTACAATCTGTCCGTTACAGTCCGTTGACTTCCCTCCCCACAAAGCATTGTGGCCACTAAAATCACCACACCATATTGCTTGATTTCCTTGATCAAGATTCTCTAACTCTTCAATCTTGAGTTTCTTATATGGTTTATATAGATTAATAATAACTATCTTTCTTTTATTCAGCCAAATCTATGTCATTACAACCTCTAAGTCAGTACTATGGTTAGTAAGCACTCTCCCATATGGAATTCCTTCTTTTGGATGTTAAACTATTAAGTTCTGACAGTGAAATACATGAGGTTTTCACGTGTTCCGCTTCCAATGGTTGGCAATTATAATTTCTAATATCAGTGTCCGGGCTGTAACAAGTCTTCTCAGTATCATTGGTGGCTCATAAAAAGGCAGCAATAACTACACGGATGTCTTTTATTTTGGTGTTTAAAGGTCCCATATAATGCTTATTCATAGGTTCATACTTGTACTTGGGGTTTCTACTAGAACCTGTTTTCACTCTTTAATTAAATAAATATATATTATTTTCCTCATACTGTCAACCTGAATGTACTGGTATTCACCCAAAGTCTGAAACGCTCAGTTTGACCACCCGTCTCTTTAAGCTCTTCTCCTGAAAAAGCCCAGTCTGCTTTGATTGGTCAGTTTTATCAGGTCTTGATGGCATTTTAATAAAATGTACTTCTTCAGTCTCCTCATAATGAGACATTGTTCTTCATTCATTTCATGAACGCATCTCCACAGAAGTTTCAGCTGTGTTTATCGATCTTCAGGTGTGATTTGAGTAAAATTTTCCCCACATGCTGCAAACATGTGACTCCTCACTTCCAGAGTTCTTGTGTGTTTTGACCATGAACCAGAACTGACATGTCTCCTACTTGTTTTTAAAACACAAGGCCACTTGACTGTGTGAGATCTTATATGCCTTTTTACTTGAGACACATCAAAGTCCCTTTTCCTGCAGGTCTTGGAGAGTTATGACTTCTCACCTGTGTGGATTCTCATGTGGGTCGTCAGGCTACTTTTACATCTCAAAGCTTTCTCACATGTTGTGCAAGTAAATGGCTTCTCACCTGTGTGGATTGTGTGTGATGTTCTAAATGTTACTCTGATCGTCAGTGTGACAAAAGAAATCCTGTGCTAACAATGTTATCGTTTTTTATTTTTTATTTTAATAAAATCATTAAGGTTTCATTTTCTAAAGTCAGCTGCTGTAGTGTACCTCCTCTAAATGTGGTCCGGCCAAACTGAGCTCTGGCCAACCTGCATTCTGATGACGGTGGCTTCTGTGTGCATCTACACCTACAACACGGTGTCTGCAGATATAACCAAGGTCAATTTCAGACTTTTTAAGACCTTTTTAATCCCACCTTATATGGAATTTCATAAATGATACTTATTATTGTAATATTCAGAAAAATACAACAAGGAAACAAATTATTTTTCTTTGGTCTGTGCGATGATTGTAAACTGTCATTGGGTCTGTCAGGCTGGAGAAATTTTCACAGTAATGTAACCAAAAATATTTAAAACCTATTGAATCTGAATTTAAGACAATTTAAGACCTTTTAAGGCCTTATATTAAGAAAACTTAATTTCAGACATTTTAAGACATTTTAAAGGAGCTGTAGAC